AGGGAGAGGCGGCGATCGCGTCGTGATGCGACCGGGAGACAGGAATGTCGTGGGCTGCAGGCTGGGGTGGGTTGTGGTGTCTCGTCGATAAAAGTGGTGATCTCATCTCGGAAGAAGCAGGCGCTGGAGCTGGAGGCCCGGGGCATCAACCCCCCCTCCAAAAACTGCCGTAGGGTCGTCAGCTCATCTTCTGGGGGCCGCCGGCGGTGCTGGTAGTCATGCAGATGAGGAGGCAAGAAGCCAGGGCCTCCAGGCTTGCGAGGGGTGGAAATGTGGATGTCGTCAGATGAAGACCACTTGTGTAGGAAGGATGGAGCGGAGCGGTGGGTGGAGAAGATGTTAGTCTCATCATGCGACATTCTCCGGGAGATAGGGACCTGGAAAACGGAGAAGGAGGCAGGTGAGGGAAGACTTGAAGAGACAGAACAGGAAAGGAGTAGCTGAGGCTTTCTCAGAGAAGACAGTCAAGAGGGCACAAAGGCGTGGGAGACTGACAGAGAAGGAAGTGGGTTGTGGGGCTGCCCACGCCAGCTCTCAGCTCACCTGCAGGTAGTGCACCTTGTCCTGGGGCAACAACATGTGGTGCATGGGTAGCAGCTTGATGTCCCGGGAGTCCCGCTTCACAGCTGCAGCACCATTTGCATCAAATCTCACTTTGCAGATCCTGCCATCGCCATAATCATCACACACACCATCTGTTGGCAAAGAGGAGAATGGCAGTCAACACTTTTGAGCCAGAGGAGCCTTATCAGAGCACCTGGACACCATCCTAATGCTTCAGAATCACAGAATCGATTAGATTGGAAGAGACCTCTGCAATCATCGAGTCCAACCTTTGCCCTAACACCACCATGTCAGCTAGACCATGGCACCAGGTGCCACGTCCAGTCTTTTCTTAAACACTTCCAGGGATGGTGACTCAACCGCTTCCCTGGGCAGCCCATTCCAATGCTTGACAACCCTTTCAGTGAAGAAATATTTCCTAATATCCAATCTAAACTTCCCCTGGCGCAACTTGAGGCCATTTCCTCTTGTCCTATAGATCGTTACTTGGGAGAAGAGACCAACGCCCGCCTGGCTACAGCCTCCTTTCAGGTCTCCCCTCAGCCTCCTTGTCTCCAGGCTAAACACCCCCAGCTCCCTCAGCTGCTCCCCATCAGACTTGTGCTCCAGGCACTTCACCACCTTCGTTGCCCTTCTCTGGACACACTGCAGCCCCTCAAGGTCTTTCTTGTAGTGAGGGGCCCAAAACTGAACACAGCATTCGAGGTGCGGCCTCACCAGTGCTGAGTGCTTGTCTGACTTCGGCCCTACTTACAGCCCTCAGGGCTCGCCTCTGAACAAGGACCTCATCTTTCTGCTTGCAGCAGCACTAAAGCACCCAGAGACTGCCCTGTTTCTTCTGTCTCGCTATTGAATTGCTCACTTCCAGAACTTGGACCTTTGGATCAGCAAGTTGGGCTGAGGCCCGGCGTGTCACTTTCGTTGTGGTTTGGCAGCTGTACACGTTGTCTCTACTCTTGCACCTACTGTGAAGGATGTTGCACTAATTTTTTCTGGATGCTAGCAAGTCCTAAGGCAGCAAGTGAGTGGCAGAGCCTTCTCCAGAATAAATTTTCCCACGGTTGCTGACTCCAAGCTATAACATGAATCCCACCTAGCCACCCACAACACCACTCCTAGTGCCATCAGGTCCTTTTCCCAAGGGAGACCCCTCCTTCCTCTGTAGTCTTTTGGGGAGGAGGTTAGTGAAGAAAGGTGACTGTGGGATGGTGAGGAGCTTACCATCATCTCCATCTTCCTCAGACATGATAGCCACACATTGCTCCCACACGGTGCGGAGATCGGCTCGGTAGCGCTCGCAGGACCAGATGAAGGAGGGGAGCAGCAGAGTCTGCACCATAGAGCACCAGAGCACAGCCAGGACCATCCAGGTAGGGGCCGTATCATAGCGCAGGCTAAAAAAGCTCACGACCTTTGAGGTAAGGGAGAGAAACAATGCCAAGAAAGAAGACAGAAGCGGGGATCAAGGGGGAAAGATAATGGGAGTCAATTCTGTAGTAGAACATAATGTGTCTGTAAAGGATTTGTCAAGTAATTACCCCATGTCCCTTTGAAAAACCGTTCCTGGGGTTGTTGCCCCAGGTTTGCTGGGCCATGTTCTGAGCTGTCATACCTCTAACATGAGACCTGGTGTTAGCATCCCTTCTTCCCTGTGCTCATTATGAGCTGGAGTTAAATAGGTGCTAACAAAGGACACTGGGAAAAAAAAGCTCTGACTAAGCCTCTGTTCTCTTAATGGTTCCCTTTGAGAACTTCCCCAGCTCTCCAGTTCTGCAGAGAATCAACCAGTCAGTCAAACCCTGAATGCTGACTACGACCATACAAGCAGAAGGAAAAAGAAAACTGTCTGCAACAGCTTTTAAAGCTGGTGTATCAGTTGTCCAGAAGCAAATTGGAGAAATAGAAATCTCATTGTTTTTACAGAGGTAGATCCCCGTGTAAGTTTGCAGAATAATTTCCTCTCCCCTCAGCCACTTAAAACTTTCACGGTGGTTTTAGCTGTGTGGTGTGTATTCCCCAGGCTTAGACTTGTCTTAAGAAAATGCTGCTGTGGAAGGATGAGAGAATTACTGCAATCTTTTTAAAACAGCCCTCAGAATAACACAGATTCAGATGTGGCAGCTCTGTGGCTGGTGGACAGAAGACGGAGTTTCTTCTCAGAAACTTGAGAGAAACAGAAATCTAGTTTAACTGCAGATTATGAAGGGAAAGGGAGAACTCGCTGCTTACCAAGATAGGCACCCCAGTGAGTGTGTCGTACAGGAAGACAATAGCACTGATGAGGTTGGTCATCTGCAAGGAGGTCTTGGCGGACTCGGACCCATCCAGTGAAGACCTCCTTTTGCCTCGTACATCCTCTACTACAATGGCCGGCACGGTGAAAGTGGTGTGTGCTGATGAAGAGCAGGATGACGCTTCCTCTGCCCTCTGATGGCGGCACCGCCGGCGTCTTCTGTGTGCCCACAGGGTCTGGTAGAATGTGATACCCACGCACACCAAGCCCATGACGATTCCTCCAAGCAGCAGGAGGCTAAAGCAGACACCGAAGCCCAGCCCTATCTTGCTGACAATGAATTGGCAGCCACGGGCATAGTAGCGCTCGCCGTTGTTGTGCCAGCCGATGGAGGGCAGGGTGGAGAGGATGAATGATACCATCCAGATACCCATGACTGCGTGCAGAGCCTGCTTCTTGGCATTGCTCAGCCGGTAGTTGACTGGCCATCTCACCATCCACATCCGGTGGTAAGAGAGGGAGGCCACCGTGAAGCAGGTGGCCAGCGCCAGGGTGTAGTAGGTGGAGACAAAGACCTTGCAGATGCTTTCGTTCCAGTCGTAGTTGGAGGATTCACGCCGCAGCTGCACCACGGCATAGGTGGTGAGCGGTACTGCTGCCATAAGGATGTGGGTGCCAGCAAGGAAGCATAGCAGCAGCTCCAGGGGCTTGTGTTTCTGTTGTTTGGCCGTGATGCTGAGGATAATCCAAGAGTTGGCCAACAGGGCTAACATCCCACATGCCAGCCACCACAGTGAGTTGTTGTGCAAGGTGGACTCTGATTCAGAGTCCCCCATGCTGCCACCCCTGCTAGGCTGCACCCTGTCCCTGCCGCTGGGATTTTGTAAGAGGGTGAGTGAGACTCCGCACTGGGAGAGCCACGTCCCTCCTCATCTGCTGCTGCTGCTGCGATGCGAGGTGTACGCACGCCGGAGGGGTTCCTCAAGGCATTGCCACCCAGCGCTAGGCAGAACAGCCGTCAACTCTGTCTCGCTTTCAGTCCTCCCTTTCCCTTCTGTTTGATTATATTTCTTTCCCTTGTCCTAACTTTTTCACCTGTTTTTTCCCTTGTTCTCTTTCTTTTTCTCTCTTCCACCTTCCTTCTCTCTCTTTCTCATGAACGCTTGCCAGTGCTTCTTCCCTCACTTGCTTGGGCTTACTTTTTTTCCTCCTCCCCATCTATTTCATCCCCCTCCTCCACTCTTCACCCCGCCCCCCAAAAGCTCTCCTTACTTCATGTGCCCACCAGGTACCTTCTGTATCAGGGACCACCTTCTGCTGGGACTGGTGAAGGCCACACGCAAACAGGGACTGCTGGGGACTCCAAACAGTTCGATAGTAGCAAGTGCCTGCTGCCCAGCGTCCTAGTGAATGAGGAGCTAGCCGAGAGTTTCAGAGATGACAGGGGGCAGGACAAAGGTCCTGCAGAAATGGTGAGGGTGGTACATACACCATGTGTAATCCCCCTCTCACCAAATGCCACGCTCGTGGCCAGGTAGAGGTTCCTGCCAAGGCTGTCAGAGAGCCATCAGCGGAGAGTGAAGGGTGAGGAACAAGATTCAGAGGGTTCCCTATCCAAGACCTCAGGGCACCCTCACTACATTGTCCTTTTTGCTGTCCTCCAGGGCTCAGCCTGCTCTCTCAAGCTTCCCTGCACAGCACAGGACAGAGCTGGCAAACAATAAGGAGATGGCAGGGAGGGAGGGGAAGATCCTTTTCAAAGGTTCCCTTGGAGATTCAGGGCATGAGGTTCACTGTAGAAGAGAGAAAAGAGAAAAAGTAATTTAAGATCATTCTGTCTCCTCAGATCTCTCTCTCTCCTTGCCCACACAAACACCTTGTCATGATTTAGGCTGTGCAGAGCATTCCCTGTGTCTTTCAGGGAACAGAAGAGCAGGATTTGCACCAGTCCCTATATACCTCAGGCCGGACTCTGGCCCCCAGCAACTCCTGCCAATGCCGCTGAGGCACCTTGCGCTCCCTGCCCTTCCAGTCTGAGGCTCCCCACCCAAAGCATTACTAATGCCATTTCTGTAGTGGAAGGCCTGATCTGCATTGCCCCTTGCCATTCTGGTCCTGCCCTCCCCACGCACCTGCTGTGACACCCCTCGCTCCTGCCATACAGCTCCCACGGCTCCGCCAGTCTCTAGACCTCAGATGTTCTCTGCCAGCGCTCTGGACTGTAACCTGCTGCTGCGGTCCCGTCCCATCCACGGGTGCGTGGGTGCGTGCTACCACTCCAGCAATACCCTGCCATCCCACCGTCTCGAAGCACGAGTCTTTTGGCCACACGCCTTGCCCGCCTAGTGCATTTCTGCTAGAGCAGCTCTGGTCTCCAGACATCCCACGGTTACAAACCCAGCAAACAAGACTGCTAACCCAGCCCTGAGACCACTCACTCTTGCCAGTGACCGCTGGTCCTACCAGCTCAGACACCCTCTCCCGTCTTCATCCCTAGGGTACACCCAAGCTGTATATTCCAAGAAGGTACAGGCCTGCTCTGTGCCTTGACTGGAGCAGATGTAAACTTAATCTTTCTGTGGAAGGACCAGTGCTCCCCAGTCTGAGCTAGTGGCTCAGTTCCCACCCCTCCCCTTCCTTCTGCTTCTCTGTATTTTCTCAGCCTCTCTGTAACCACCTGAAGCTTTTCCTCCTTTCCTCCCTGCTTGGAGCAGTTTGCCATGACTGAATTGGCGATGCCCCCGTTCTGCCCTGGTCCATCCTTTTTCCCCCAGTGCCATCACTCTTGCAGTTAGGCCTGTGGCCTCTGGAGACAGTTACGAAGCTAGCCGGCCCTGATAATCCCAGGGGAACGAATTTCCTTGCGGCATCCCTTCTGCCGCCCTTCCCACCCGGCTTGTTCTG